AAAAAAAAAACAAACATTTCGATCATGGATTACAAAAAAAAACAAACATTTCGATCATGTATTACAAAACATTCGATCATGGATTACAAAAAATTCTATCATGGGTTACAAAAAAAAAAATAAATAAATAAATTCGATCATGGATTACAAGAAAAAAAACAAACATTTCGATCATGGATTACAAAAATTCGATCATGGATTACAAAAAATTCTATCATGGGTTACAAAAAAAAATTCAAAAAAAAAAAATAAAATAAAATCCGTACGGGACTCGCCGATTCACTATACGGACTCGCCGATTCCGTACAGTGAATCGGCGAGTCACTGTGCAGAATCGTCCGGTTCTCTCTAGAACCGGACGATTCCCGTTTTTTTCGCTGATTCGATCCGTCCATGGCGATTCCCGAGTCGAACAGGGCGAGTCCGGTTCGACTCGGCGTTTTTTTAAACACTGGTTGCAAGACACTATGTGATGGACAAAACACTTGTGAGATGGTAAGAAGGTTTGGAGGAGTGTTCGAAAAATCGAACTCCAAGGGTTAACCCGACATAAGGCCAGAAGTGATTTAACCGGCTTAATCAGTAACTGGCCGATTCAACCATTTTAACTAGAAAAGTCGTAAAAATTTAGATTTCTGTGAGATTCCAGGTATTCTATAGTTCTTTTCAGTGTCCATTGCCAATTCTTGGTCATTGAGATTCATGGGTGATTCGAAGTAATATTTAGGGATCGATATTACCTCTCTCTTTCTCCCCTTTCAAACAAATTGAAATGATTTAAGTTTTTCCATTTGGAATCGTGTTAGGTCTAATTCCTATTACTTTGGCCGGATTATTTTTAACTCCTTCAAAAAATTGTTGAACAAAATAAAAATAATACAAAAAAGAAAAGTTTATATAGAGCCGAGACTCTAAACAATCAAATTAAAGCCTATCTCAAAAATTTCAATTGTTTTGGTGCCCAAATATCTTCAAATTGATCATCTCAACATCAAGATGCATAGACATGAAAAAAAAATAGATTTCAAAAATTGGAAATAGTGCATTTTGTAACGCATTTTTGGACCATTAATTTTCAAGTTTTTTTTTTATCTTTCATTCTACACTACTCTTTAATCTTTAAACTTTATAAATAAAAAATAAAATATATTTTAAAGCTATCACAAAGATTTCCAGTATTGAAACCACATTTTTGGACATTGTTTAATGGTAGGCTCTAATTTGATTGTTTAGAGCTTAGGCTCTAATTCGATTTGTGCCAAGGGGTATTTGTAAAATTTTCAAAAAAAGTGGACAAATATAAAAGTGAGTATTAATGATGAAAAAATTTTCTAATAATGTAAAGAATATTAAAAAATGTATTACAAACTAAATTCTTTTTTTTTGGGTTTTATATACATTTTTTTGAATTTTTTTTAAAAAATACTTGCGGATCACTAAAACCTCCCGAAACTGGAATTGGCCAATGGTTGGTTCCGATCTAACAGGACGGTTACCGGGAATGCAAGGAGACAATATGGCACTCTTCTAAACCACAATTTGAACATGGCCAATCAAATATCTCTCTCATCTACGTTTCTCTTTAAATTCTCACTCTTTTCTGGTAAATATCTCTCTTCTTTTTATTAAAGGAAAAATTTATATAAGGTGTCAACATTATACCATTGAAGCAAGGTGCACCTCAAATTCCTCTAGAGGAGGCAATTATGATTTGGAAAACCCTCCAATTTGATCATCTCGAGCTCGAGTTGTATCGATATGAAGAAAAAAAAAATGAATTTCAAATCTTAGAAATAAATAGTATACCATGTAACAAAATATATGGACCATCTATTTTTCAGATTTTTATAATTTTTATAATGTTATAGATATGCTCGATCTGTACATTTTGAAAGTTTAAATTTTTATAATTATGGATAAAAATATATTTCAAGCCATCATAAGGTTTCCGACATAACACCATAGCTCCAAACAAATTTAGAAGTGTGCATTACTTATAGTATAAACATGGCACCTTATACAAACCTCACCCTTCATTAAAATTCCCTCTCCCATTCTTTCTTCTTATGTCTACTAGAGGATTTCTATCTAAAATCTCCTTTCTCTCTCTAGTATACAGAGGAGCTCTTTTCTAAAGTCCTATTTTTCATGTGGGTTCTTAAACAAGGACGAGGTAATATGCTCTTGTCCACAATCCCAATGAGGAATGGGTGGTTGTTAACCAAAAGCACGGAAAAGGAATTGCGAAGAGTGTCCCAAAGCTTGATGCTCAAAAATCTAGATTGTCAATAGTGCATTCTAGTTCCTCTATTGTAGATATCCAAAAAAAATAGCACAAGTAGAACAATGGCGTATGCTTTTAAAAAAAAAACAACGGTTTCTAATTGCATTTGAAAAGTCAAACAAGCGTTCAAAAATTGAATTGCATAATATGGAGGACGATATTATATTTCTTTCAAAGATTACGAAGGAGGAAGGGAAAGTCCTAATGAAATGGAAGTTGTTGCACAACCCTCTAGGTCAATCGGCCTGTGTGGCAGCAAAACAATCAATGAATAGAGGACATGGGGGCATTATCATTGTGAGTAATAATAATTTTATATCTCAAAGGGAGGCTTCTTCCTCCAGTTCAACTTCTGTGTTTGCCAATGTTCCATAATCACTAGGCATAGGTCATCTTCGAAAATTCATGAAGATAGTTGGAATGCATGTGGATTGGGAGATGT